GGCCCCTTACGGCCCAAACGCAATATTAAGCCATCTCGTGGCATCAATCAGGCCCTTGGCCTCATATCAATATCATTATCATACCACTGCGGCATGCAGTCCGATCCCATACTCAGTCCAGAATCACATAAGCCTTTCGGCACAATAATATAAAAATATTCAGCCCAAACTTCATTTAAAAATATTACTTTAGTTTCTACTTTTAGAAAAATGGCTGAGTTTACAAAACAGTGTTAAATACCAAGACTGAGTTCAATATCTAGAAATATGGTAAGAAACCAGTAAAAATAATCCCTGAAGGATTCAAGTAGTTGGCACGAAGCCCAATTATGACAATTAATCCATTTTTATAAGGATATCACAAAAACTACAATCAATTAGGTAGTAATTTTATTAAGCGGGACGGACCAAGTCACGATCCCCGACGGTGCTCTACCCCACGCCCGTTATCCGGCGTGCAAGTCACCTCACATAGCACTACGTTGTGCAAATTCAGGGTTTCGAACCCTCAACACAGCATTTACATTTATTACTAACCTCAAGCCGGCCAAGGTCCTAGCTTGCTATGCCCTTGCCTTTCGAATTCGCCTCTTCGTGCGTCGAATCTGACCAAAACCACAACGAATACGTCACAATATGCTAAGGGAATATAACCCAATCGAAAAGACTCGAAAATCACGAAGTTGGCAAAACCCGAGCCCTGGGCCCACTTCTCGAAAAATTATAAATTTTGCATCACCGGATTCCTTATCTCGCCACGAGTCTATACATATAAAGAACACCAAAATCAGAGTCCAAATGACCCCTCAAATTCCCATTTTTGTTCTCTTAGGTCTCAAGCCCTAAACCACCATTTTTTACCTTAATTCCTTGAGTTTTCAGTGTAATTCCATGTATTTGCATGATAAAATTGTGTTCTAAGTCCAAGAATGCTTACCTGATCGAAGTCCTTGAATTTCCTCTTCAAAATCGCTCAAGAACACCCCAAGTCCGAAGTTAAAAATATGTTTTCTGTAAAATTTCGCGAAGGGATTAAAACCCACTTCTAATCAGTTGTTTCCGCTTCTGCGGTCCTTTGTCGCTTCTGCGACTACCGCATCTGCATTCATTTTTCGCTTCTGCGGAATCTCACTTATTGTCCAAAATTCCGCATCTGCGGTCCTTTTGTCGCATCTGCGACTCCGCAAATGCGGTTGGCATCTTCGCACCTGCGACTACTGTCGCTTCTGCGGTTCTTGAATCGCTTCTGCCTGCGGTCCCATTTCCGCAGAAGTGAAAATACCAGAAGCAGCAAAATTCTGCAATCTCTTTAAGTTCAAAACTTCCCGTTAGCCATCCGAAATCACCCCGAGGCCCTCGGGACCTCAACTAAGAATACAAACATGATCCAATACCTTATTCAAACTTGCTCCAATCATCAAAACACTTCTAACAACACTAAAACCATCATTTCTCATTGAATTCAAGCCTAAGTTTTTCAAAACTTCCGAAATACGCATTCGATCAAAAATCCAACCAAATCACCTCCGAATGACCTGAAATTTTGCAGACACATCCCAAATCACCTAACGAAGCTACTGCAACTCTCGGAATTCCATTCCGACCCTCGGATCAAAATATCACCTATCGACCAGAATTTGCTAAAATTCTAAGTTTGCCAATTCAAGCCTAATTCTACTCCCGACCTCCAAAATCGCTTTTGATTACACTCCTAAGTCACAAATCATCCCCCGAATCTAACCAAATCATCGGAATTCAAATCCGAGCCCTCTAACACAAAAGTCAACATCCGGTTGACTTTTCCAACTTAAGCCTTCTTAAAAGAGACTAAGTGTCTCATTTCTTATCAAAACCATTCCAAACCAACTCTAACAGATCAAATACTGATAATGAGACATGAAGAAGCATAACATAGGGAAAACGGGGCGGTAACTCATGTGACGACGGGTCGGGTCGTCACAATAAATCTATCTGTAAAGATACTACTAAAAAATATTTCAGTAAAGATACCACTAAAAAAAGAAAGGATGGATTGAATCTCTGAAGATTGCTCTGTTTTTTGGGTGTTTTTCGGTTGAGAATCTTTTCTATAACTGGAAATACAAAATTTGTGTGTTATAATTGAGTTTGTTGAGTTATATTAGGAGTCTATCGCGTTAATTGATTCACTTACCGTTTTTAAACAGCTGAAGACCTTTTTTTCGCAAATTCCGTTACTGTATTCATGAATACAGCTCGCGAATACAGTCGAATACATTCTCTGCTTAGCTGGACTCCCCTGTTTTCCGCCGAGTTTTGCTACTGTATTCATGAATACAGTAGCAAAAATACATTGGATACAGTCTATAACAACTGAAAACATAACTATAGGAAGTAATTTAGTAAATAGTAGCTATAGCAAACTAATAATCACTAAAACATAGTGGTTTCTGAAAATTTCTCAAGAAAAAAACACGTAGAAACCGATAAGCCCAATAAAGAAATCAACTCTATTTGGTTTTGACAAAAACTGAGCCTAATCGAAGCATGATCACCCCTAATGGTAGGCATGGTGGGTCAAGTTTTACCCTGCAAAACTCTGCATAGCAATTTTTTTTAACTCACCTCGCCTCGCCCAACATAGACATGTCCTGCTCCGCCCTATGTTTTCTTTTTCATGTTATTATTTAGTTAAAACAGACAAGTTTAATATTTTATTATTTTTTAAATAGAAAGTTTGATATTATTCAAGTGGTTTAATTTTTATCTCTCTCTTTTCATTTCGTGTAGTGGGTTTTTCTTGGTGTCATTTATTTCATCTAAACTTTTGCTAGAATTTTCCTTCACTCGTGTTTTGAAGGAAAAATATACTCCATAAACATAAGCCAAGTATCATTAAAGTTCAAACTTCAGAGCATTAATTTTTAAGTGAGAGGTAAAATTGGATTGTCACCATATTAATGACTCGTTATTGTCTTATTACGAAATTGGCGTCAACTTTTACCAAGTTGATAATAAGGTTAGGTAATTTGTTAGGCCTCTTTCTTAAGATGATAAATTAGAAAAATAATAAAAAAGAAAATCACATTTCATGAATTCAGGGAGAAGAGTGGATAAACACTCCTCGTGCAGTTTCTTTTATTAGCTACAAGTAATATAGTATTGTCATTGAAGTAGCCAAAATAGTTAATAAACTCATACAAGATGTAATAAATCCTCAAGTTTTATGAATTTTGAGAAGTTTTATCATGACTGTTACACACTACAGATCATTGTATTGGGAAAATTGAGTTTACATATTAAAGTAGTATGGAGATGACGTGTCGTGACACGTAGACTGGTCAAATGGTCAAAGAATTTCAACTAGCCAAGAGGCACGAGTAGCAATGGATGCGAGCAAAGGCAAAGGAAGAGGCACGGGCAGACATTCAAAGGATTCAGCGCCCGTACCTATTCAAGACATTTAAATTCAAGAATCAAGAAGTATCAAGGGAATGAATTTGACAACACATGAGAGTCCAAATACAGTATTTAATAAGCCTTAAATGCTAAAAACCTTAGAGAATCTGTCTTGAATATAATGATTATGTAACGTAGCATTAAATGTCATTAATTTCCCATAATAGCCTTATTATGACAAAGGCAAGACATATATCTCAAAAATAGCTATAAAAAGGAGAGGGCTGAACAATTGTAGGGACACGAAAGATCATCTGAATATACTTTGGTTTACTTGTTTTATTCAATTATATTCTGGCTATTCAAATTACTTTCTTTATACATTCTTGCGATTATCAGTAACCCGTGTTCTTCTAAATTATAGCTTTAGTCAAAATTCTTTTTTTTTGTTAAACAAATTGGTTCCGTTACCGGGAATGCATCAACCATGTCGAACAACAATGACAACATTCAAGGAAACCAAGAAAATCAAACAACCCAGCAACTTCAGGGAGATCCACAGAACAATAACGTACTAATTCCTTCTCCACGAGGCTCTCCACGGCGGTCTCGTGAAGGCACTCCTGATGGGTCTCATACAGATGGACAGGCTCAATTCGAAAATGTTGAAACTATGGATGAGGCTTTGCAAAAACTTATTGCCTCACAAGTCAATAAAGCTCTTCAGGCTTTTGTTAGCCAATTACCTGCTGCACCACCCACACCCACTCCAAATAACAACACTCTGGAGAACCCTCGTTCCGGGCTCGTTAATTCGGGTAGTGGTGGAACCCCCAGCGAATCACAGGAGGGAGAACCAGGTAACTTAGTTAATTCTGATTTACAAAATTTAGTACTAACATTGCAGAAACAACTCAAGGAGCAAAGTGATCGCATAGAGCAAATACCCGGGGTGCCACCTGTGATCAAAGGGGTAGATATGGATAAATATTCACATCAACCCTGGAATTCAAGTGCTGCTCCCCTTCCAATCCCAAAGAAATTCAAAATGCCTGATATACCAAAATACGATGGAACAACAGACCCACGAGACCACGTGACTGCATTCACAACAGGCGTAAAAGGCAACAATTTAACTAAGCAGGAGATTGAATCAGTATTAGTCAAGAAATTTGGTGAAACACTCACTAACGGTGCACTAACATGGTATTCTCTTTTACCCGAAAATTCTATAAATTATTTTGCTGAGCTTGCAGATTCTTTCATCAAAGCACACTCGGGAGCTCAAAAAGTCGAAAAAAGAATGGAAGATATTTTTAAAATTAAACAAGGGGACTCAGAATTGCTTAGGGAATTTGTGGACAGATTCCAGCGTGAAAGAATGACATTGCCACGTGTACCAGATAACTGGGCAGCTATAGCTTTCACAAGCAATTTGAATGAGAAAAGCTCAGAAGCTACGAGGCGACTCAAGGAAAGCCTTCGTGAATTCCCAGCTACAACATGGAATGACGTTTACAATAGATATAGCACAAAGTTGAGGATTGAAGAAGATATTATTTCACGACATCAAAAAGAAGAAAAGGTAAGCTCAAGACAGGCGGAAAACGAAAAAAGGTCCGGTAAAAACAGGTAAAACACCATTTGATAACTTGAAAAAAAATACTAAACTTAGAAAGGTCTAATAAGAACAAAAAACTTACAGGAATTAGGCTATTGCTAAGAAACTCTTCATATGAGGCATAGGAGTATACCACAGTCCCCATCCGCTCTGGCGTGGCGGCAATTCAATTCTCTTCACTGTTCTATGATCTAAATTATAAAGAAACAACCCTTTACCCTTTAAGTGAAGCAAAAGTTCACCTTCTTGGATGTTCAAAAGCTTTATCCGCCCACAAATGTCGCTGGTAAGGGATGAAATATTCATGAAATACAAACTAAAAGGGAAAATCCTCTCATCACAGAGATCAATATTGTACCTTTTGATCCATATACGCATTTCATAGTCCTTCAAGATCCATATATCCACTACATAGTAAGAGATAAGCAAGTTACAGAAACACAAACTATCATCCTTCACCAAAAGAGTCATAGCTTGATGCTTTCGCTTTGAATTGCATACGCTCCCGGGATGAGGCATAGCAGAGAGTTCTTCCTTATCCATTTTGAAAACCATGATTCCGTTTGCACAAGGAGGAATATCTTTTCTTTCTAAATCGTGGTCAATGATCCAATGAAACGCTCCATTCACAACTGCTGGAGTGCCACCAGATGACAAAAAGTTGAAAGAGGAGGACGAGCGAATTTTCCTCCATGTCCATGTCTTGAAAATATATACGAAATACTGACAACAACTGCCTCGTACTTGGGCGTAAAGAATTCTGAATTGCCGTGTGTATGGACAAAAATAAATAGCACATAAGTAGCCCGGGTGAAGTGTATGTTGTACAGCTACTTCTTCTTGTGTTATCGGGTTGAAAGCATAATAAGTAGACTGCCACTTCAAGTCACCAAACATAAGAACTCCTTGACAAGTGTACGTAAGAACAAGTTGGTGATCCCAATATTTATTAATCATAAGCTCGGGTCTGAGATATAGTTGCTTGAAGGCGACCTTCTTCTTCTTCTTATTATTATTATTAAGGTTTTCACCAACAACATAAAGATCTTGCCCGTGCTTGATAGTCAAATAATCCTGTAAGAGAATCAGGGGTCTACTAGCTCTACTGAGATCATCATATAAGGTGATAAAATAGTCATGTGATGAGACCAAAGCTCTCCAATGCCTACAAACCCATCTACATCTAAGAAGAGAATATGCTGGAAGTCTACTCAGAATATCAATGATGAGACAATCAGGCAAACTTTCGAAAGTTTCAGTAATTTCTTCTTCACCTTTGCATATTGAAGGAAATAGTGAACCCAACAGTTGTGTAGTCCATGTGAAGCATTCCAGTTCCATGACCTATAATATAAAGCAGAAAAATAATGGTTACTTGGTATGACAACAAAATATGCATTGATTGATCAAAAGAGAAACTACAACTTTTATAATAATAGAATTTTCAGAGAGGTATAACCATATAATAATAGAATAAGAAGCTCAAATCATAAAATATGAACCATGTACGATTGCACCAAATAGCGTGGCCTAATCATCAATAAAGTTGATAGAGAACCATGAGGTCTCACGTTCAAATTTCATCAAAGACAAAAAGTAATGGGTGATCTGCCTAAGCTTTGGTGAGCAGAGCTTCCCGGTAGCAGGTACCCGGTGATATAGTGCATAAGCTCAGACACCACCGTTATCAACGACAAAAAGTCAAAAATATGGACCATGATTAAAACATTTAAGTTTTGGGATTGGTAGAATTTGATATATGCTTGATCACGTGACCAAATATAATCACAGAGGTCTCGAGTTTAAATTCCAATGGCGGCAAATCACAAATTCCATCTGCCTCAGAATTTTCACTAAAAAAGTGAGAAAAAATCAAGGAGATTCAACATTTAATATATAGAGGTACGAAAAAACACATATACATTAGAGTATCATCAAACATTGGGTAAAGGAACTTACAACTTGTTGAACGGAAAAGCAGCGACGGGAGGACCGGAGGACGGAACTGAGGACTTCCTGAATATTTCGCCTCTACTCTCAACTATTCAATTATAGTTCGATTTCGCTTTTGTTTCGGTTTTAGAATTGCTTTTGTTTTGGACGACAATGTTGGATAGTGTTTGAATTTGAACAGTTTTGGGGTTTTTTGCCCTTTCAATTTTGGATTTCATTTACAATTATTTGCACAAAGGAAAAGGATATTTATTTGACTTCAATTGACAAAGTTTCATTATATTTTAGATGGGTAAATTCACAAATGGTCATATAATTGTGATTTTTTTTATTAAAATCTTATAAATATATTTTCTCACGCAAAAATTATATAACTTTCATGATATTTTATTTGTGTTATTATTTATTAGACTGAAAAAATAATGAAAAAACATGAAATAAAAAAAAATACTACCGAAGAGTTGTGTTTTCGGTCACGACGATTTTTGTGTGAATTAGTGAGTTTTATGATTTTGGTGTGAGAAATATAGTTATATGGCTTTAGTGGGAAAAAAGTCATAGTTATATGACCATCTGCGAAATTTATCCTATTTTAGACCCAATTGTCCATAGATCTTTTTTCTTCTTTTTTTCTTCCGGAAAGTTTTTTCAAAAATGTGTTTGTCCATAAAAAACTATACTAAATTTTAGGAGAATATTTGAAAAAGAGTTTTCGGGAAAAAAAAAATTCACTCGCAAAACTGCAATATTTTTTTAAGTGAGATGCATTCAAACATTATTTCAAATTGCAGATATCATTTTTCAACTTACCCACAAATATATTTTTGTTTTTTAAATTATACTGTAAATTTAAATCCATTGTCCAAACGCCTATTTAGTTTATTTTTAGTTTTAAATGTTTAGAATCTACACTAGCAGTGTGATTTTACTGGCTTATCCCAACAACTACTTGATCTAAGTGGCACAAGAGATCAAAGATAAATCAATAACAGTAACAGGCAGAGAATTCTCTTTTTCAAGTTTCATTATCGACCCTGTCCAACCAAGAAAGAATTTTGTCAATATATTTCTTACCACCCGAAAAATTAGGGTGAGATTCAAAAATAGTCAGAATTACAAGTGGTAGTTGAAAAATAACCGCAGTTTCAAAAGTAAAAAAATGTAGTCACTTTTCATATAAAAATGAATCTGAAGAAAGACACTATTCAAAATCCGAAAATATTCCAGCATAATATATTGCGGTTCGAAATTTTTACATGTGAACTTCCAGCATAATATACTGGAGTTTCAGCGTAATATACTGGAGTTCTAGCATAACATACTAGGCCAGCACAATATGCTAGAAGTTTTTACACATGTGCTTCAATCTCCAGTATATTATGCTGGAACTTTCCGTGCGCTGGAGTTCCAGCATAATATGCTGGAAGTTCATACAGAGGTGCACCAATCATCAGTATATTATGTGGAACTTTCCGTGTTATAGCAAAATAGTAGTTATTTTTCAATGACTTTGCAAGCGCCGACTATTTTTTAGTTACCAGTACGAAAACTGGCTAACCCGTGCTACTTTTACGAAAAATTATATGTCGAAAGGTGATTAATTTATAGTTCTCGACTTTTGTTAGTTAGTCCTGATAATGTCCTGGCGGCATAACCCTTTGAAAGAGTCGTGAAAAGTGAAAACGTGACAGGATCAATTTACATACCAATTACGAAACTCGTCAATGTGCAAACTTTTACCAAATCTTGATAATTATTCAACTTAATAAATCATATGAAATTGACACCAAAATTGAAATAATTTACCTGACCTTTCTACCTTGCCGTATATATAATTGCAAACCACCTAATACCGCACATGCAAGTTGAGTCATTAAGCATATATATAAAGCTTCTACTTAATGGGCAAACCACTCCAAATTAATTTTATTTACATTTATATACTCCACTCTCAAGTCAAACTAAGTATCCTCATTAATAGTAGTACTAAATTTTTTACTTTAAAGCGCTGGATTTTATCACCTACCATATGTACAAAATTTCTCAAATTTGAATTTTCCTGACTTAACCATAATGGACAACTAACTACTACATAGTAAAAAATATGTGGTATTAGACAAAGAAGAACGGTTTAAATGCTCTTAAAAAATAATGATTGGTTAACAAAAAAAGATGTGTATTAACTTTTAGTATTTAACAAGAAAATGAAAGTTTAGTGCTAAACAAATAAGAATTGGATTTTCTCCCTTTTTACTCATAAATTGTACTCCCTCCCTCTGTTCCAATTTATGTGAACCTATTTCCTTTTTGGTCTGTTCCAAAAGAATGAACCTTTTTCTAAATTTGGTAACAATTTAGCTTAAACTTACAATTCTATCTTTAATGAGAAACTTTTATAACCATAAAAATACTCTAGGCCCCTTTTTGACTTGTTTAGGGCCACAAAGTCCAAACAAGTTCACATAAACAGGTTCACATAGAAAAGTCTTCATTTTTTCTTAAACTCCGTGCCCAGTCAAACAGGTTCACATAAATTGGAACGGAGGGAGTAGAAGTTACACATTTGGCTGCTCAACTAAAAATATTTACGGTCGCCAGCTAATATCAACAACAATAACATACCCAGTTTGATCCTACAAGTGAGATCTGACAGGGGTAGTGTGAATGCAGATTTTACCCTTCATTGTGAAGGTAGAGAAACTGTTTCCGATAGACTCTCGGCTCAAAGAAAATATAATCACAACTAATATACATATAATATACACAAAGTATACATAGGGTGGACGGCTATTTTAGCTAATCTCTCAAAGTAGAAAATTTCAACTTGATTTTTCTCTCTCTATCCCCCAAATAGCACCAACCACCAAAGGCAAGCCACCGTCTGGACGTCGGCTAATGCAAGGTCGGCACACAAATTCTTTGAATAAAAAAGCTTTAAGGATAGTATATTTTAAGCAATCTGCAGCTGTATATGAAGAGTTGGCGCCAGCAATTCTTGACGGTTGAAACATTTAATATAACCCCATAACTTTATTTCTTTCCAAAATAACAAGAATGATAGAATCTTGAAGATACTTTCTTTTTAAAAAATAAGATTGGTTTCAATGCAGTTCGCGTACACCTCAACTATTATATTGAATACATGCTGCCGGTATTGAAAGAGAGCCTTGGAACAACGATGAAGTTATCTCCATGTGACCTATAGGTCAAAAGATCGAATCATGGCAGCCACTAATGCTTACACTAGGGTAGCTGTCTACATCGTACCCCTTGGGATTCGACACTTCCCTAGACGCAACATGAACACGAGATGCCTTGTGCATAGATTGCAACCCTAATGCTTGCATTAGGAAAGGTTGTCTACATCACCTCCCTTGGGGTGCAGCCCTTACCCAGACCCTGCGTGAACGCTGTGTACCGAGCTGCCCTCTTTACTTGCTGCCGGTACCGAAGGTCTCATGATTTTCACCCACTTCAATGGCGCCATGGCGGTTAAGCCACACCTTTTGGTGCTGCCGTTCTTTCTTTCTTCACAAGGATTAAGCAAAGATACATTCTAATAAGTAAAAACATGCAAGCAAAAGCCCAGATTCAGCTTAACTAATTCTGAAAGTATCATGCTTCATAATATTGGAAAGTACATCCAATAAAAATTCAATCACGAACAAACTACGCGCCAAACCTTCATTGTTTATATATTAAGGGAAAGCCTTTGCCATGTAAATTTACAAAGCTAGAAACAACCTCAGCTAATTCTATACATTTATCAAATAACAAGACATTTAATTTATAGCGTGGACTCTGATATATCGAATGAGATCCAAGTTTTCCTCGCAAAATAGAAAAATGGTCATCGCTTACTGACCTGAAAGAATGTTCAGAAGCTTAAAGTTACATTCCTGCAGTACTCGTCACCCTTTTAACGAATAAAGAATCTCATGGAATATGATCGCCAGAGTAGCTCGAATCAGCAGCAACTGAGAAAAAATAGGCGGAGACGTCTTGTGATTTGCTTCTGAAGAGAAGCATTTTGCCATGGACCGGTTTCTAAACTCCAACCGTTCAAAGCCAAAATCACTCATCCAAGTAATCATCATTAAACATCATTCTAGCACTAGCACATTCCTCTATTGCTTTTGCATTCACTTCCCTTCCATACCTCCATATGTAGTTCAGACCGACGAGTAGCTCTGTAATTGCTGATTCTGTTTTTTCTTGATTCGCATAATAAAGGGTTTGTACAAGCAGCACATTCGTTCTTGAAACAAAGTTCTGATGCTCAAAGCTCCGCTCAGATTGCCATCTTATCATGTTATGAGCAAGCGGAGCGAGCCATTCTAGAATCCCCATCATTGCTTCATTCCATTCTCCAGCAAGAACCGTGTCATAAACTGACGACGTCAAGCTCTTGGCGAATGGCTTTAGTTTTGCCCTGAGGGCTCCTCTTAAGCTAGCCGGTAGCATGTTGTACAGGTCTTCTCTTGCATCATGTCCAATCAAGTGAGGAGATGCCACTAGTTTCTCAATCACAATAATGACATTTGAATAATGTAGTGCTAAGGCAGCAGCTCCAAGAGTTTCTGGAGGAGCGTTTAACAAACTTTTTTTCGCATTATAACTTGTCAGATAAGAGCAAGTTGAATAGCCATCAGCATGTCCATTTACATTAGCTCCTTTTGTTGCACTGAGAAAACCAGAATGAAATCCTTGTGGATCTAGATAGCAATTACCTACAGGAGAACCGTTCCCGATCATCATGCAGCCTTTTAGCGGACCTGTAGAGTTCGGTCTAGAATGCTTTTGATTTAGACCTTTTCCGTGTAAATTTCCTGAACGGTCACGAGATTTCCACCACCTCATGCCAGATTTATTTAATAGAGGGAGCGGCCCAGATTTTGTTGTTGACCTTCCCAGAGGACCCGAATAGAAGCCAGCGGAAGAATGTCTTCCAGGGACCGGGCTTCCTGTTGAAGTTGAACTTTTCAGGGGACCTGAATAAGAATTGTTAATGTTTCTTGTGCCTGAGATTGGCCCAGATTTGGAAAGGATACTTTCTACTGGTTCTGAGGAAAATCTAGTCAAGCCTGTTTCAGATGGGTGAACAGTTGATTGGGCATAGGCAACTGAGTGACTACGATGGATTTGATCAGAATCTAGTTCTCTTGAT